GTGCATTACTGTGTTGTGTCGTGCATTTTCAATGCCCCGTTCCACTGTGTATTATGTAATTCACGGGGTGGCCAATGAAATGAGGCAAACTGAAGAAGTGAAGAATTACAAAGCATTTCTCAAAGTTTTGTGAGGCTGGGGAATCATGCAACTTTCCCATGTGTAGTTGGAACTACAGATGGCTGCAGTTTTTGAATTAAAGCTCCAGGAGAACCTGATGCACAATGTTACAGAAGCTGGAAGCTCTATTCATCTGTGCAGCTGCAGGTTGTATGTGATCATCGGGCAAAGGTTTTGGATGTTTTATAGGCTTTTCTGGATCAGTGCATGATGCAAGGGTCCTTTGCACTGTACTCTCTACAAGCAGGCAGCATGATCCTTGGTGTTGGTTGTCAGTCCCACTCCTGGACCTCCTAAAAATAAATGCAAACCCATAATCTAACCTTTACTTTCTTTTGCCTAGGTGAATTATAGCATTTTTAAGCATTTTTAAATATTTGAATTATGTTTGAAATATGCTCAAAGGTTTAAAAGCAATAAATCCTTAATCTTTCAATTAATGTACTCATTTATTATTAATCATCAGCTCTGTCTTGGAACTTACTTTGTATTTCTTTTTTAGGTTGTGCCAATTCCAAAGGACAGTCCCGTCAACAAAAACAAAATCAAATTAGGGCTTTCAACTTTGTTAGAGAATAGGTAAAGAGATGAAAAGATCCGACTTTATTCAGCTAAAATTCTAACCGGATTAGTTTTTTATCCACACAAGCAAATTACTTCTATTTACTTTTTAAGTTATGATTAGCTAATGTTACATTTTGTACTATAACTGAGTATGCATGACTAACTTATCTGTGTCCAGTCGTATCTGCAGAGTGTGGCTGCAGGTTTTTATGATTAATTGTTTTTCCTGATTAAGGGGAATCAGATGAGCTTATTTCCAGTGAAAACCTGGTGAGAACTTTACATAGTACTGTAAACGTTAACCAGACAGAAACCACATTTCTAGAAAGGAAATGTACTTATTTATATTTGAGAGAAATTGAATGAGAGATTGAGATGGGAAGAGTGAGTTGTATAGTAAGAAAGTGATATGTAGAGACAGAGAGAGGTGGAGATAGAGTAAGATGTAGAGACTTGGAGAGAAAGAGATGGGGAGAGATAGATGTAGAGAGGCATGGAGCATTGTCCGTAACATTTTTTCCCCCAGTGTCCCAACAGGCATCCTCCCATCTGCCTCCTTGAGCCACCTCTTCACTACTGGAATGGTGTTGAAGTGCCCATGTCTGGACCCTCCAAGCTAATGAAGAGCAACCTTGTCAGTGTGTGAACACTCAGCTTGCCCCTCCAGTCAGTCTTGGCTCGCTTCATGGCACTGAAGCCCCTCTCAACAGGGGACAGAGGCAGGACCAAGATGAGCTCCACAGTGAGAAGGAACTAGGGAAAGCTGCTTTTCCACTCATCATCCATGAAAAAAGTCAAGCCAAGCATTCCTTTGTAGTAATCTTTTCAGGAAATCTACCACCTACCATTGCCAGAGTAGTGTGATATATTCATGCATGTCTGCAACAGCTCTCTCAGAAATACAGCTTGTATCTTTTGCAGTTTGAACGTGAAGATTGGACATTGGTATATATCACAGCGGATAATAACAAAACCAAGGGATAGGGGAAGTATGGTTGTGTAAATACTTTCAGTCTTGTAAATTAGCTAGCTAGCTAGTGTACCTGCAGCTGCAGATGATTACATGTAGCACAGCTTGGCTACATAATGTGTTTTTTTTTTGCTAGCTGATTGACAGGCTGGCTGATTGACTGAATGACTGACTTGCCATGACATGATAAAATAACATTTAACAGAATTATTGTTATTTACCTGTTAAAATATGGTTTTAGCGCCTGCTTCATTGATTTTGAGCGAAGATTGAAGTGCACTCAGTCTTGTGGATTGGAACACAGCCTCTGTCATGTTACTCCGCCCCTCCCCATACTGAAAAAATATCTAGTGAAATTAAACAAGTTTTGCAACAATTTGCATGTAGTTTTTTAAAAGTGAATTTAACTAAATTTAGATCATTTTAAGAAACAATATACTTAGTGTCAAAATGTATAAAGGGATAAAACAAGTGAACCAAAGCTGTATTATTCCTGTGTTAAGTAAACTTTACTTACAATTTTCATATAATACAACTAAAGCATATCAAATATAACTCAGCTTTCTATTGTATTTCTTACTAAAATAAATTGTTATTATAGCCTAGTTTCTAGAATTTTAATAAAATATAAAATTTTCTTGGTGTTTAAAAAACTCAGTACAAAAGAAATGCAAAAAGAATCTCAAGTATTTATTTTAGCAAGCAGTTACTGTCAACATTTGCACTTACCAAGTATGCAGACTTTCGAGTTCAAAAAATGTAAAAATCTGTGTATTAGATTAAAAACAAATGCTGAAATGAGTTTTCAAACTTCGTATGCAAATGACCAAGTACATATGACATTGTGCCTTACACAAAATCTAAGAATGAGCACTTTATAAAATGCACCTGAGACAGCTCTTTAAATTTATTAAAAAATCCATTACAAACTTTTTTGCTGACTCCTAGAAGTAAAGATCTACAAGACCAAAAACTTAAATTCAGACAAACATGAAGGCTCTGATGTACATATAAATACATTGTTGATGCACATGAATTTGAATTTACTCAACATTTACTCTCCCTCAGCCAGCAAATGCATAACTCTCAATGAACAGCATCTATGAAGGCTTAAACCCTTGCTTGTAGTAACAGTGCAAAATAAAAATCGCTGTATTTGTAGATTGTTTATTATTATTATTATTATTATTATCATTTATATTATTATAGTACTTTTATATGTGGCATTACAGGTTCTGTTTTGTCTGTTCCAACTTATTAAATTTTAGGAAAACAAAATATTGTGTGTGAAAATGTCTTTAAGTATTGTGATATGTTTTGCTATATCACCCACCCCTAAGCCCCACACACATACGTTTTAGCTATGTGTCTACAGTCTATTCTTTGGATTTGAACCTAATTATCTCCCCAATTTAATCGTCTCCAATTCCACCCGCTAGTTAAGACTCCCCCAGTCACACGATACTATCAACGCTAGGAGGGCGAAGGCTAACACAGGCTTCCTCCGAGACCTGTGAAGCAGCCACCGCTTCTTTTCGAACTGCCGCTCACGCAACGTCACTGGACAGCTGAACGCGCTCGGAGGAAAGCGCCAACCGCCAGATCTGTTACGTCAGCTAACAGACGCCTGCGCTGACTAGCGTCGCGTTAAGTGATGGGGGGAGAAGGAGGGGCCATCCTACCCACCCAGAGAGAGCGAGGCCAATTGTGCTCTCTTGGACTCCCGGCTACGGATGGCTGTAGCATCACCAGGGATCGAACTCGCGATCTCCTGATGACAGGGCCAACGCTTAGACGGTTGCGCCCTATAGTCTATTCTTTAAAACATCAATCAGCATGGGACAGCTGATAAACCGATCTGAAAACAGTCATGCAAGCAGCTTGTTCTGCAAAGACTGCACATCTTTAAACCGTTCAGCTCAAGAAAAATCTTCTGCAGTACTTCAAATATGTATTTCAGCTCAGAGACACAGCTTAAATTCAGAGTATATGACTCTCAGTAGTTATTAACCCCGGTAAATGTCAAAATGATTTATGAGTTATGCGTGACGTCACATGTGAAATATGTAAAGTATTTTCCCAGGGGGTTGATGTGTATAAAAACGTAAACATCAGTGGTATGACATCACATGTGAAATATGTAAAAAAATTTCCCAGGGGTTGGTGTGTGTAAAATGTAAACATCAGTTATATGACGTCACATGTCAAAATTGCAACTAATTTTCCCAGGAGGTGATGTGTGTAAAAACTGTGAACAACTATTGTAGGTTGTAAAGAATCCGGTGATAAAATGTTCAATTTTCCCCAGGGTGCGTGTTGGGAGGGGTGGCAAGCGTGAGCAAATTTTCCCCCTCTTGAGAAGTGTTAATGAAAAAAACGATGTGAATTTTGTGTAAAAGTTTAAAGGGGTGTGAAAAATTAAGAGTAAGGATGAAAAAAGATGCAAGGACTTACCGTCGGTGGGGTGTGGTGGGGTGTGGTGGGGTGGGGTGGGATGGGGTGGTTGGGTCGGGGTATGGTGTGTGTGTGTGTGTGTGTGTGTGTGTGTGTGTGTGTGTGTGAATGCTTTTTGATAACTACCCGAGGTTTGCCCGGTATGATGCGTGGGAATAATTTTCAAAAGATTCCCAGGATGTGTTTTGGAAAAAAAGATGTGTTTTGGAAAAAAAGATTCCCATGATGTAATGGTATGACGTAGTTGTTGTTGTTGTTGTGTTTTTGAGTGACCGCAGCAAGTGGGGGGCCCCCGTTCTGCTAAGCGTGACTAATAATTGAACAGGTGTCGTGGTGTTTTTCTCCTCACAATACTATAAAAACTGGCCGTAAAAGAGACAGATTGGTGCGGAGAGTGACTTTTCTGCAAAACCATCGTCATGGATTCTCCAGACAGATCGTCTAAGGCTCAAGCCGGATCTCCGATCTTGAATTCCTTGAGCAAATGGCGCTATCGCACATTCATTCGGGACAACTTACAAAAGCGTGGAATACCTTATTTCGTGTGGCCAAACAGCCTAAAACGACTGAAACTGAAGGAGCAACCCCTGAGGACCAGTCAAATTTTGAGCGCGAGGAAGGCCTTCGTTCGCAATGACATACCTAAACACTGCTGGCCCCGTTCGATTCGGGAAGAATGCGATGTTACACCTTCGCAGAAGAAAAAGCAGGAAATCGACAGATTCAGAGCGGACGACAGTCTGTTTAAACCGAGCATAAAGAGGAGATGTCTTTCGATGACGTATTTGACAATTTTGCCGAAAGAAACCCGGCTGAACAATCGCTACATCGTTTTCCGTCAGAGCAGACTGTTTCACAGTGACAAGCCGACTGAAGTCTCCATTTCCGAAAAGGAGTTGTACCTGTTAAACCAGACCGTCCCGAAAACGAATGAAGTGGGGGAATTGCATGCTATGATCTTACAGGCCAGAAACAGGTCATGCATGGTTCGCGACACAAAACACAAGACCGAACTGTCCAGGTCTGCCACAATCACACTGAAGGTCAGATCCGCGCATTATTTGCGTCAAATCACCCTGACCATCACAGGGCTCAAGACCCCTGAGTTTACCTACAGAGTTCGACTAGAGGTGTGCACGTCACCTGTGATAAGGCACGAAAACGTGTGCTCCAGCGATGACGACCAGTGGATTTTTTATTTTGCCCCTACTGAAAAAGAAGAGCACGTCCAGCTGATTGAAATAACTTTGCGGGAGAGCGAACTACTGGATATTTATCACGCGGTCAAACATGTTCTGACAGGTAAGAAAAACGCTTTTTTTCTTAAATTCATTTTGACCGTTTGAGGTACCGTAGTTTGTGAATATAAGCCGTGAAAAGGGTTATACGGTTTCAAGTTGCAGCGTGTGGCCGAAGAGTAAGCATGTACGAGCCCGTTAAACCTTTTAACGATTTTCTCTCTCTATCACCAGCCAGCGTAATATGTGGTTGCGACAGCTGTCATATTCCACGCCCGACGAGTCTGATGTCTAAATACCAAGATGACAAAACGGCGATGCGCATGTGCGAGGACATGCCCAGCGGGAGAGATTGGGGGTGTTCCCCCACTCACCAGCCAGAGCACGATGAAGAAGAGAGTTCTAAACTAGACTTCGTGGAACGTAAAAAAAGCGGTGAAAATGACATTTCAGATTCGACCAGCGCCAGCGAGGTAGAAGAAATGGAAGAGGAAGTCTCCGGCGTGACCGATCTGGACAGCGATGAATTTATCGTGGTGGACGAGGACGGCTTACAAAGCCGACCTTCTTCGCCGGCTGACATCGAGCAGCGTGAGAGAGAGAACGCGAGCGCTTTCTCAGGAACGGGGTCAAAAGGTCAATGCGAGGAACCTCTTGACGCCGGCGCCAACTCGGAAAGTCAGAGCGAGAAGCCTTCGGACCTCAGTCTGAAGGGCCGAGCCACGAAAATTGTGGAATTTATCTGGGCAAGAGCGATCATCCTGGCTGTTCGTCAATGGGTTACGAGAGATTGCGCTGGGTGTCAAATTGAACACCCATCACAGAGACAGCACAGTTGCGTGGAAGGCGTCCCCGTAAGATTTCTGGACAACGAGTTAAAGCAGAAGTGGCTGAATCTCATTCCCGCTTGTGAATTGGAAATAAAAGAGTCTCTAAAGCAACACTTTGAATTAAAAGAACCTCATGATGGTTTTGTAATAAACATTTTGCGTTGAATTTACACGCTGACGCAGGAAAAATTGAGTGAATATAACCCGCTGTCCGAGTACCTGAGCAGAGAACCGTCCGAAATTCTGAGCCGGTTTTACATGCGGCCGGATGAACCTCTGAACAGCGCTGCGGAATCAACGGCCGCCGACGTGTGTAAAATTCTGATGGGGTCTGAGGATGACAGATCGGTGTAGTGATTCGCGAGAGAGAGAGAGAGATTGTGTATTTGTACATAAGACATTTATGACACCGATGTTTTTTTGCTGCTAGTAAGTTTATACATTGTATATATTTTTTTTATTAGACAAACCATAAACATTATTACTATTAGAAAAAACTGGGACCTTTTTGTTTTATTAAAAAACACCACATGTTTTTCGTTTAATATTTTAGTCGTTTGAGTTTGTGTAATTGTTTATAGCACCTTTATGACATCTTTTGATCGCTGCTAGTAGTTTACATATTTTTTGAACCCCTTTTGTGCATGTTTATTAGACAAACTGTATAGTCTTTTCATTTTAATATTTTAAACCATGTAATCATTTTAATTTTTTAATATTTTAAATCATGTAACCATTTTTCATTTTTATATATTTAATAGTGTAATCATTTTAATATTTTTAACAGTGTAATCATTTTAATTTTTTAATATTTTAAATCATGTAACCATTTTTCTTTTCATATTTTAATTGTAATCATTTTAATATTTTTTTAATATTTTAAATCATGTAACCATTTTCTTTTCATATTTTAAGTGTAATCATTTTAATATTTTTTAATATTTTAAATCATGTAACCATTTTTCTTTTCATATTTTAAGTGTAATCATTTTTCATTTTCATATATTTAATAGTGTAATCATTTTTAGTTTCATATGTTATACTTCAGTGTTCATCACATTTAGTTTGAAACTAATTTACCTATATCTCAAACTAACGGTTTGTCAGTAGATTAGATACTAACAACCAAAAAAAATATAAAAGAAATAAACCGTTTTTAACAAAAAAATAAAAAAACACATAAAAACCTTTAAACAAAAAAAATAAAAAACCATAAAAACCTTTTGAAGTCGTTTTCTGTCATCAGTTTGTTTTCTCCACATTTTATTTTAGACCGTGTTTTACCCAGAAGAAAATATAAAAACCCTAACGTGTTTCACACCTCGACCATTTGGACATGTCTCAGACGGCGCTGCAAGAGTTGTACCATAAACCCGGGTCGGAAGGCGGTCTGTGTGGTAGGGAGCCCTTTATCAAAAGCGTAAGGGAGGTGGGGTTGGCTAATAAAAATAAAGATGAAATTGATAGGTTTTTACAAAGTTCCGACACTTACACGCTACACAAACCCCGAAGAATAAACTTTAAAAGGAGTTTCGTACTAGCGTGCGAAAAAGATTCACAATGGCAGTTAGACTTGGCAGATTTATCCTCTCTATCGGAACACAACGATGGGAAAAAGTTTATTTTAACCTGCATAGATGTGTTTTCAAAATACGCGTGGGTGGAGGCGTTGGAAAATAAGAACGCCAAGAGCGTAACGAAGGCCTTTGAACAAATACTTTTACGAGGTAGAAAACCCGTCACCCTTCAAAGTGACAAGGGCGAGAATTTTGTAATCAATCATTTATGAAACTTTTAAACAAATATAAAATAAGACATTTTACTACGGCTAGCGAATTGAAAGCCTCTGTGGTGGAGCGATTTAACAAAACCCTCAAAACGCGGATGTTCAGATATTTTACAGGTTTTAACACCTTGAGATATTTAGATGTGCTTTAGGAACTAGTGAGCGCTTACAATCGCGCTTTTCACAGATCTATTCAAATGCGTCCCGAAGAAGTGAACGAGTGCAATCAGATACAGGTGTTTCATCATCTGTACGGGAAAAGAATGAGAGGGGAATTACCCCGACCCAAGTTTAAAATAGGTGACGCGGTTCGGATTTTGAAAGAGCGCAGGGTCTTCGCGAAAGGTTACGAACAGTCTTTCACGGATGAATATTTTTTTGTGGATAAAATTATTAAACGAGACCCGCCGATGTATAAACTAAAAGACCTCGATAATGAAATAATAGAAGGTTCTTTTTATGAAGAAGAAATGCAGAAAATTATTGTACCTGAAAATAAAGTCTATCGTGTAGAAAAAATACTGGCTAGGAAAAAAAACTAAATCCGAGGTTCTCGTTAAGGTGAGATGGAAAAAATTATAAAAAATTTGACTCCTGGGTAAACGAAAATTCTATCCAGGACGCTCGATAAAAACCCCGTGAGAGAGCGGCGCAAGCCCCTATTCGGAAGCGCGGACCACCCCACCATGGAAGAAACCAGAGATTTTTTCATCACTCTGCCGAGTAACGCTAGCGACAAATTATACCCTCAAAACGATATATCCAGCTACAGGGTGAAGTTAGCCAAAACCGTTCACCTCAGGGGCGGTTGGGAGGTCGGCTTAGCAGAAATTTCATTTCCTCAGAGTTGGTACACGCTGGCGGACGGCGGGCGACAGGAAACGGACTTTTGGGTGTGCGAAGGGCCGGATCTCAGTAAACAGGTGGCTTTTAAAGTAAAATGCGGTTATTATACTTACATCGCTGACATTTTGACCGAAATGAACAAATATTTTAGAACCACCAAAACCCACGTCGAATTATATTTGGATAAGGTCACGAGACGGGTAAAATTAGGGGTCACACCGGAGGAGATTATACGACTGACCTCGCTGAACAGATGGCCTATTCGGATTCGAACGCACGGACAGTTGGCGCACATTCTGGGCTTCGAGGAACAGAAGTGGACTGACCCGACCGAAACTAAATTCCCTGCCCATATTAAAGGCGGAACGTTTTATTTGTTTCTTTATTCAGATATTTCTTCACATCAGATCGTGGCCGATACCTTAGCACCTCTTTTGCGAACCGTTCAAATACCCAAAGCACATCTGGATTTCGTCACGCTAAACTTTGACAAGGTGCACTACAACCCGGTCAGCAAACACGTGTTTGATGAAATTTTAATAGAGTTGAAAACGGATCAAAACCGAAACGTCAAATTCGAATTTGGAAAAGTGATCGTGAAGCTACATTTTAGACCGATCCGATAAAAAATGTCTGCTTATCACGCCGACCCTAGCCCCTACGTCCTCTATTATACGCGACAGGCGGGGTCCGGTTTAGAAGGTTTCAGCGGAGCGCCCGTGCAGTACGGAAGAGGGATCGGCAACGTTTTTCGGGGTTTGTTTAGACTGGCGGTGCCTCTGCTAAAATCGGGCTTCAACTTAGTCAGACCACACCTCAAGACCGCTGCTAAAAATATCGCGAAAGACGTGGTTTCCGCAGCGGCGGGGAAATTACTGGGAAACGCGTCGGAAAGGCGGCAGGAGGGGGAAGGCCTGGTGGTTTTGAGCCGCGCGAATCGACGCATGCGCCCACCGGGGCGTCGCGGTTCCGTACCTTTTAAAAATAAAAGCGTTTTTTCAAAAGGTCTCAGTCTGAACAGGAAGCTGGCGGGTGCGCTCGTCCGCGCCTCTCGTTTAAGGAATAGGAAGAAAAAAAAGAGCGAGCGGAAAACCGGTGCGGGTCCCGACATATTTTAAAAGATGTCTCTCATACACAGCGCCTCGGCGGAATGCATGAAGTCCGAGCTGGACCTATTTACGATCCCTATGACGCAACACAGTATAGAATCCTACAAATACGTAGAAACGCCTCCCATCACGGCCATTACCGAAAACGGCCCCCTGGAATTTTTTATAGCGGGGTCGGGGGACACCTACGTCGATCTGAACCGTTCGCTTTTGTACCTCACGTGCAAAGTTACCAACGCGGACGGAACCGATCTGGCGGCCGGTGCGACCGATCAATTACCCCGCGGCCACTCTTTTTAGCCAAGTCGACCTGTCCCTCGGCGATAAGCTCATTTCTCAAAGCGGTTCCACGTACGCCTACAGGGCCGTTCTGGAGTGTTTGCTTAACTATTCCGAACCTACTCTGAATTCGCAATTCGCAGCGGGGCTGTTTCGCAAAGACACGGCGGGGCGCATGGACGAAGCTGACCCGAACAGAGACAATGAGGGGTTAACGTGGCGAAGCGCTTATTGCGAAAGGAGCCGAACGTTCGAATTAATGGGACATTTGCATAACGACTTTGCATTTCAGGAAAAGCTTCTTTTAAATTCCGTCGACGTGAGAATCAAGTTAGTTCGTAATAAAAACGAGTTTGTTTTAATGTCGTCGGATCCGAACCCGGGCTATAAACTTCACATTTTAACGGCCCTTTTGTACGTGAAAAGAATACACGTGTCACCCAGTGTGAAACTGGGGCACGCGTCAGCTTTGCTTCAGTCTAACGCGAGGTACCCGTTAGAACGAGTTAACGTGAAAGTGTTAAGCGTGCCGGCGGGGGGTCGCGTGTCAAACCAGGATAATCTATTTTTGGGCCAAGTGCCAAAATTCATCGCTATAGGTTTTGTTCATAACGAAGCTTTCAGCGGATCATACGCGCGAAATCCTTTTAATTTTCATCATTACGACGTGGAATCTTTAAATCTCAGCGTGGACGGTGTGTCCTACCCGTCCACGCCTTTTCGACCCCTTTTTCCCAGGCAGCGCTGCCTGCGAGAATACTTCAGCCTGGTCGAGGCTACGGACAGAGGGTTGAGGGACCAGCCTTTGGCCATCTCTCGTGAAGATTTTTCTCAGGGCTACTGTTTATTCGCGTTCAACTTGACCCCCGACGAAAGCTCGGGCGAACACGTTTCCTTAATACAGTCGGGGCACGTTAGACTGGACCTCCGGTTTCGAGCGCCTTTGCCCAACACCATAAACATCATCGTGTTTGCGGTTTTTGACAACGTGTTAGAAATTGATCACAAACGTGAAGTGCTTATGGACTATTTTTAAAAAAAAATGGACACCAGACAGATCGCTAAAGCCATGCGATACGCCCGAGGGTTCAGAGGCGTATTCCCCTGCGATCAACTGCCGCGGGTGTTAAAACACACACCTCCGTCCTGTTTTATTGTGAATACACATCCTCACACCCTGCCAGGACAGCATTGGTTGGCTGTTTTAATACTGTCAGATGGAAATGCAGTTTTTTGATTCCTACGGGTTTCCGCCGGACTCTGAATTTTTCCCCAGTTACATCATGCTTTTTCTAAAAAATAATTCACGACGAGTTTTGTGTAACGCTAGACAAGTTCAAGACCATAGGTCGGACGCCTGCGGGCATCATTGCGTGTATTTTCTAAAACAGCGTATGAAGGGTCTTACGTTTTCTCAGGTTCTAAATTCTTATTCCACCGATTTACGAGAAAATGATCGCTCTGTTAAAAAATATGTAAAAAGTTTGCTGCGGATAGATTCTTACTGTCATATTGTACACGGCGTGCAAAGTTGTGTTTACCGTTGTGATTTTATCAATAAATGATTACAAAATGATCTTTTAACGTCTGTGTGATTATATATTTCAATAAAATCGCTACGCTTTAAAAAATGTTTACTTTATTCAAACACACACACACACAAGAAAAAACATATTAAAAGAGTTGAAAAATATGAGACTATGTTTTAATGAAAAAAACAAAAGCATAAAATGTACTTTGAATAAGATATAAATGATGTGGTTATTTAAACATACGAATGAAAGCATTTTGGTTTTAATAAAAATGTGAAAAGATTCAAACATACACATTACCCGTTGGTTTAAATATGACACGATTATAAAAAGCATAAAATGTACTTTGATTCAGATATAAATGAAAACATTTTGTTTTTAATAAAAATGTAAAAAAAGATTCAAACATTCACATTATCCGTTGGTTTAAAAAATGACACGATTATAAAAAGCATAAAATGTACTTTGATTCAGATATAAATGATGTGGTTATTTAAGCATACGAATGAAAACATTTCTTAATACGACATCCACCCCGGAGGTTCAAAGTGTGTTTTTCTATTTCTTTTTTTTTAACCCGCGAAGGTGTACTCGCAGGCGTGCTAAACGTTAAAGAATTATCAACGGACCCTTTGATGTGTTTGTATTTTTCCATCTCTCGCCTTACAGAAGAATTACCCCCGAAGGAACGTTGGCGTCCGCCAAGCTGCGAAGGAAACTGCTCCACCCGACGGGCTTGTAATTCAGCTTCTGATAAGAGGTTGCCGTTTTTAACAAATCAAATATATGACTCCCTTCCACGACATCCCCTCTGTACACGAATTCGCCGCGAGTCGTCCACGCGTTTTCCAGCGCGTCCATAATCAGTCGGGCTTTGTTTCTCGAACGACCGGGCAAGTGTTCCAAAACCTATATGGAGAAACCGTCCGGTGTTTTACCTTCTCGTTTTTCTCCTTCTTCTTCTTTTTTAGGTGGAGGTAAACTTAAAGTCAGTTCTTTTTTTTCCAAAGATTTTTGTTTGACCAGAGTCAGATATTTCCGCAAAAGTTGAGAATACAAATCCAGTTTGGTGTCCGCGGATAAATCCTTTCTCTCCAACAGGGATTTAATCTCCCGCTCCAGTTCATTCTCGCTGTTTTCCCTAATGTCTCCTTTAGAGGAGGAGGAGGAGGGTGTGAGTTTTTGCAATTGGTCGGCAGAGACTAGGTACAGTTTTCGCGCGTGGTTCATTGCTGCCTGGGGGTTAGCATTTGTAACACAAAAGGCAGGGCCGCGGCTATTAACGGGCCGATAAAACCCCCCTTCTGAATGAGTTTACGCTTGCGCCCAAACGGATAACTTTTGTCAGCCAGATGTCTTAAACAGCGTCGCCTTTTCTTAAACTGTTTATACTGAGAGTCAGTCAGCGGGACGTTGCCTTTTAAAACGTTTAAAACGATTTCGCATATGGCCAAAATCACGTATTTGGGTAAATTTTTTTTGTCGGCTTTATGTTTTTCTCTTGGCGTTTATCCAAGCGCTTAGAAAAGGGAGAGCTTTTCTTAAACGGGCTGACGTCATTTTTTAAAAAAATCTATGTTTTAGGTACGTACACCACAGATTCTTGTCCGGGTAACAGCCCGCTCCGCAACCTAAATCTTTCTGGCGTTTCGGCTTTAAGATCCACAATTAAATAACCGAAAGGTTTACTCGTAGCGTCCTGGAACGATTCCTGGAAATATTTCGATTGTCCGGGATACATTTGTTTAGCCAAAATTGAAATGTGTAACTTGTCTCTAGGATTTTTAAAAAAGTATCAGGTAGGAGGCGTTTAAACTAAGTGTGCGAGAATTCTTTCCTCTATAAAATAGATTCTGCGTCAAATATATCACGCTAAGATTATTGTGGTGAGAATATCTCGTGAAAGCCCTTTCTAATTCTACCGACTGACTCATAACGTCCATCATATCGTCCAGAACGATCAGAGGACCCCCTCCCCCTCCTCCTCCTCCTCCTCCTTCTCCTGATCGTCGTCCTTGTAGTTCATCGTCGTGCAGGCTGCTCGGTGCTCCTTGAACGAAAACCACGTCGGGCATAAGCTCCAGTAGTTCGTCGTAACTTTTTTGCCAGTTTTCATAAAACCACATGATTTTGCCAGGCTTCCCGTTGAGAGTTTTGGAAGAACATTCCAAAAGTCTTTGCACAAAGCACGTCTTCCCCGAACGGCTCGGTCCGGCCAAAATACATGTAAACGGCAACTTTAATCTGACGTCAAAATCCATAAGGCACCGTGGTAAAGTCGGGTCTCAGTATTCTCTTGTTATAAATTAATGAAAATTTTTTCAGAGCTCTGACGTTCTGCAGAGCCAAGCGTTTTTTGTTTCTTTGAATTAAAAGGGTCTCGGTCAGCAGAGTGTCGGATCGCCCCGTGCTAACGTGCTGCTCCACCAGCCGTTTAAAGGAATCAAAATGAAGAATTTTAGAAGTCTCCGGATTAACTGTAAACCCCTTGACCTTCAGAGAAACTTGCCCGCCGGCTGTGACGAAACAATAGCTTTTGGGTCCTGTAGACACAAATTCCTTGATATAATCTCCATCCGTTAGCTGATTCGACAGATCACCGAGATAAAACCCCGTGGGAGGAGTGTTTCGCCGTGAACATGACAGAATCCGTATCAAAATATAACACCCGCTTTTGTAATTTTTCTAGCACATCGTACAGTTTTAATCGTCCGTAAACCGCCGTGAAAACGGCTACAAATACGTTAGAAACCACGGGGTTTTGCAAATAATCCTTTTCGTACTGCCACTGGACCAAAGCAACGTCGTCATTAATAAAAGTAAAATAAGAAATGCGTTTATGTTTGCAAAACATTAATTCTAAAAAGTCACGAGGCTCCGTTATTAATTCCGTGTTCATCCGATTCGTTCTCTGTCCAAATTTCCCCCAGAGAGCGTTCAGAAACAGTTTGCTAATACTCCTCTGAGCGGGGTTAAATCCGATTTTTGACACATCCAGTTGGACACCTTCGTGCTTAAACTTAAACAAATAGTCATTTTTCTCAGCGTCGGTGTTCACGCCCGGGGGGAAACCGCTGGCTTCCACTTTGTTTTTCAAATGTAAATCGATGTATCCTGCGAACAAATCGCAGGAGTTTTGCTCAAAGTGCCAAACCTCGTACACTTTCCCGATCGTGTAGCCGTGGTTTAAACTCCTTTTGATCTCCTCCCTGCAATAAACACCCGTTATGGCTCTCTCTTCTTCCGAATGTCGACACGCGTCCCCGGCCTCCTCCTCCGCGCAGGTTCTACAAAGGGTGAAAACTAATTTGTTTAGTTTATCACATCTAAAAGGCAACACGGGGTGGAAAAGATTTCTTGGGGGGTAGATTTTGACTCTGGCGATGCCAAAGTACTCTCTGATGTCTTTAAAATCGGTCACAATCACCGTCGGGTGTCCAATGGGGTAGGCCATACGCTTGTTGCAGTAAGGATATAAACTCGTAAAGTCCAAGTAATGGATTTTTTCGTCCGGGGCGGTTTTGTGCAGCAAACGGATGGCGTTGGTCCGTCCGCCGTACAGAGCGTCTCTCGGGTTCATTTTCTCCGGAAAATCACAGCTTTTCAAAAATGTCTTTAGCTCCCCGTTGTCCGCTTTCAGCTTAATCCACGTATGTTCCCACATGATCCTACCGTTATATCCCAAGGATTTCAGATATTCCAACCGTTCCGTGGTGCGTTGATAAAGTTCACCTTGTAACTCACCGGTCAGAGGGTTTTCGGCGTTAGGGTCCGAACATTTCGGACACCCGTGAAACACGCAGCCCAGAAATTCAAACACGGTGTTGGTCCGTTCGCAAAACCCGTCCACAAAAATAGATCCGACTTTCTTTTCCCCCACGTTCAGCGCGTGTTGGATAAAAACGTTCTCCTTGAACTTGACAAACTCTAACCACTGTATACTGCAATTTGAAAAACTTTTGTTTTTTTTCAAAAAATAACGCGGCCCCGTTAAGGCCAGACACCTATCCGGCAAAAAGTTTGTTCTGTACAGGCTTAGCGCGGCGCTGGCTATGGTGACGTGTTGAAACGGGTCCACGTTGGCCATGGACAGCACTCGTTCTCTGAATATCATGCAGGCTTTTCTTAAAATAACCACATCATTCTTACAATATTGGTACAGCTCCTTTTTTATATTAAACACACCGTTTTTTACAGAATCGTACCAGTTTATAAATTCAGTCCGCTCCGTAGGAGCCATTTGTGAATATCCGTACATATCAGGTTTCGGGTAACGTCCAACATAACACAAATTATCTTTTGTGTGAAAATAATGAGGAAAATAACCCTTTTTCTCATTTTCAAAACCAAAACTTTTGGGTAAATCAGCCAGTTTTGTTTGGAAGAAGCTCAGGCTGTCTATGTAACGTTGTTTGAAAAAAATATCGGTCATGCATAAGATTTTATTTCCTTGAGTAATGAGATGCGGTACTATTTTGTTCTTTGTTAGGTAATTTAGCATAAAATACGAATCATAACCGCTGCTGTTGTGAGCGATAAATGTATACTTTTTGTATCTGTTTTTTCTAAAACGTTTAAAAAACTTTGCTATGCAGTCGT